TTATGTAGGTTATTATAATATATGTGTTATTATATCAGTATGTTATGTATGCTATTATATTGTATATGTTATTATATCAGTATGTTATGCTTGCTATTATATTGTATATGTTATTATATTGGTTTGTTATGGATGTTACTATATTATACATGTTATTAGATGTTATTATATTAGTTTGTTATGTATGTTATTATATTATAAATGTTATTATATGTTACTATATCAGTATGTTATGTAGGTTATTATAATATATATGTTATTATATCAGTATGTTATGTATGCTATTATATTGTATATGTTATTATATTGGTTTGTTATGGATGTTATTATATTATAAATGTTATTAAATATTATTATATCAGTATGTTATGTATGTTATTACATTATAAATGTTATTATATCAGTATGTTATGTATGTTATTATATTATAAATGTTATTATATCAGTATGTTATGTATGTTATTACATTATAAATGTTATTACATCAGTATGTTATGTATGTTATTACATTATAAATGTTATTATATCAGTATGTTATGTATGTTATTATATTATAAATGTTATTACATCAGTATGTTATGTATGTTATTACATTATAAATGTTATTACATCAGTATGTTATGTATGTTATTACATTATAAATGTTATTATATCAGTATGTTATGTATGTTATTATATTATAAATGTTATTACATCAGTATGTTATGTATGTTATTACATTATAAATGTTATTACATCAGTATGTTATGTATGTTACTATATTATACATGTTATTAGATGTTATTATATTAGTTTGTTATGTATGTTATTATATTATAAATGTTATTATATGTTACTATATCAGTATGTTATGTAGGTTGTACTGTTATTATATTTCTAAACATATAGAATTTTGACACTGTTTTGGAGCACAAAAGAGTATAGATTTAATGAAAAGGATCTGTGCCTTGAAATGTGCAAATAAAGGGACAAAGCCGAAGGAAAATGAACGAATGAATGATTAAATAAATAAATAAAAATAAAACGGTAAAGTAAATATAAAACAAACAGCAAATACATCATATTGTAAAATGTTTAAGAACATATACAACATATTTGCATTTTGTTACTCTGCCTCTCTGGATTGACCATAAAGAACTGATAAATGTATTTACAGTATTACAGTACATGTGTAGTGCTTTGAAATGTGCATTTTTTATCTAATATTTGACGTACTCTAGACTGAAACATGAAGGGGGTGGGGCATAAAGTAGCCCCTCCCCTATATAAAAAAAAGCCAATAGCGTTTTGTTTTATCACAGCCCAGCCAGGAAGTGTGCTTTTCACTAGGGCTGGCCGATTAATCGGAAAGTAATCTAAATCGTCTTAATCGATCAAACTTTTGCAGGTCGATTTTTTCGATTACTTTCCCAACCTTCGCACTTTCGTATACCCCTCGCCATGGCTGACACACACATCTCAAAAACTGTACCCACACATTGCGACGACACAGCTTTGTGGTTGATCAGCTTGATAGCGTTGACAAGCATGGGCGGCGAGGAGAGCCACGAGCCCATTAGAGCGAGTGTTTACAAGTGTCTACAAGTCAAAATGTACTTTTCAGGCTTTTTTAAGTGAGAATTGAGTTGTTTAGATTGCAACTATGCAGTTTATTCTTATCTCTTTTTTTTATAATTTCAGAAATTCAGGGCTTTGTCGGCTATTAGCATGCAGAGCAAAGAAATTAATGGCTGACTGCCACAAGATGGCGACAGAGACTGCACAATAAATCCTTAGAATAGAAAAACTCATTAGAGGAGTGTACATTTCAATCTACAGCTGGTCAAATCAGGTAAGGGATGTCCAGTGGGTGGTCAAAACCACAAGTGGCTATTTGCGACTGCACAACAATGATAGTAATTCAAATATATATGTTTTGTCGGGCTGAATCTCCTTATATTTTTGGCGTCAGTTGCGGGAAATGTTGCGCAAATGGCTCTTGGGCTGGCAGTTTGAGACTCCTGATTTAGGAGGTGACAAACTGCAAGCTTTAGATGTTTATATCTCCTAAATGCACGGTTTTGCTTCACACTAGCTAACTAACATACTGATACTAACATCTAAAACACGTAATTTCATGAGAACTTTAAACGTGCAGTATATGTTCAAGACAAGATATGACATAAATGAACTTAATATTAATTCCACTGCTGTCCAGAATGAGCTGAAAGCCTGATGAATCGTGGACAAACCTCATTAAGTGTTGTAGGTGTTAAAGGAGAAAAGTGTTTAAACTGCTCTTTTCCATAACATAAAAAACAGACTAATTAATTTTATCGCATGCCAAACTGCACTATAAAAATGGCCATTTAACTTCCAGGTGTACTGAAGTAATAGTGTGTAGAATTTAACGCTACCTATTTAGTGAGTCTCGGCAAACGTGTGGTTATTCAAAACTGTCAGTATTTCTAAACCAAGTGTCTAGTTTAAAGTCTGATTCATTATCAGTGTTTATTCATCAGCCTCTAATGAAACTATTGCTTTGTGTTAAATGAGCTGTGGACTCTTTTCAAACAGTTATCATGTCATAATGTCATAGATCAAGTATAAATTAGACAAATATTCTAATAAAAAAAGCTAAAAATAGGTATCGTCAGGGTAATTTTAGGACAACTTTTGATCTACTGTCATTCCTACATGCTGTTGATTTGGTTCAATGTTTACCCTGCACATAGTATTGAATATACACAACAGTTCTGTCTGGTTCTCGAATCTGATTGGCTGATAGTTGTGCGATATTCTGTGTGGAATTTGGAATGATGGTTGAGCGCCCCCTAACTTTAGAGCATAGTGATTAAATATTTACTTGTGGTGAGGAGTTTCCTCATCTCAGCTCGTAGACTTACAGGCACACACAAATAGTAAATTCAGAGAGAAATGAAATGCACAAATTATTTAAATGTACAACCGAAAATAACGCAATTCACGAGCGCGTATTGTACCGTGGATGTCATACCAAACAGTTTAATATTATAATGAGAATTGAGGCATCCCTATTATATACAGTTGAAGTCAGAAATATTAGCCCCCCTGAACTATTCGCCTCCCTGTTAAATTTTTCCCCCAATTTTTGTTTAACGGAGAGCAGATTATCTTGAGCACATTTCTAATCATAATAGTGTTAATAACTCATCTCTAATAACTGATTAATTTTATCTTTGTCATGATGACAGTAAATAATATTAGACTAGATATTTTTCAAGACACTTCTATACAGCTTAAAGTGACATTTAAAAGCTTCACTAGATTAATTAATTTAACTAGGCAGGTTAGGGTAATTAGGCAAGTTATTGTATAACGATGGTTTGTTCTGTAGACAAATATATCGGAAAACAAATATAGCTTAAATGCTGTTTAAATGGTGTTTTAAAAAAAATAAAAACTGCTTTTATTCTAGCCAAAATAAAACAAATAAGACTTTCTCCAGAAGGAAAAATATTATCAGACGTACTGTGAAAATTTCCTTGCCCTGTTAAAAATCATTTGGGAAATATTTAAGAGAAAAAAATGAAAAGGGGGGCTAATTTATTTCACTAATAACTGACTATATAAATGTATATATATATACATACACGCACGCACGCACGCGCGCGCACACGCTCACACGCACACACGCACACACGCACGCACACGCACGCACACACACACACACACACGCACACACGCACACACACACACGACCTGAAAATATTCTTGTCCACACCTGTATTTCAGACCGATCTCCCGCCACCCTCCCGTTTTGTTATTACTCCCGGAATATTACCGTAATTTCTACCACCCCCACCCCCGGTCCTCAGCATTTTGGTATGGTCTGTGAAACCCCTGGGTCGCCAACAATGGTATAAGATTCGACCGCAGCGGCAGCCCGAAACATAACAGTCTACTGGCCCCCACCACCCCCCCACCCCACCCTGTCTACTGGATATTATCAAAAATAATTATCAGCAAATAATATTGGACTTCTAGTTGATTGTTTGGTATCAGAAGTGTCTCTATGAAAGGTAAAGGCCTCTAGATTTTGCTTATTTGATCACAATAAAATCTGATCATGTCTTGATTTTGACTGATTTCATTAGGACAGTAAGGTCTGACTCTGCTTAGACTGAACAGAAATAATGTCCAGTATAGAATATAAAGTCCTGCTGCAGTGGAGACAGAATGAATATTGTGTCTGACTCCATCATGAGCTTGGAGGACTGCATCCATACATCTCTGACATGACTCACATCACTGATTAATAAAGTCATCTGGAATGGCAAAGAACTCCCAGAGCTCATCAAGAGTCTTAGGATTCATCTTCAACGCCTCATTCAGCTTACCCCAGACATGCTTAATAATGTTCATGTCTGGTGACTGGGCTGGCCAATCCTGGAGCACTCTTTGCTTTCAGGAGCTTTGATGTGAAGGCTGAAGTATAAGAAGGAAACCATGATGTTTCCTTCACCAAACTTGACTGATTTTTGTAAGAATCTTGGCTCCATCCAGGTTCCAGTAGCTCATATATACATATATATATATATATATATATATATATATATATATATATATATATAGTTATATATACACACATATATATATATACATAGTTATATATATATATATATATACATAGTTATGCTTATGATATATATATATATGCTTTAATTTATTTAAGTGTTTCTGCTGTGTATAAATACCACTTATATAAATACTATTATAACTGGCGTATCACCCACCAGTTCAAAAATGTTTAGATTTGGTGTGTATCCAGCTGGCTCGCGACAAATTAGGACAGCTCTTCACAAAACAAAACACAACACCATCATACGCTGCATCCGACAGCATGTGGAGGAGACGTTCGGCATAGCGCCATCAGTCGATATGAGCAGGAGAAATGAGTGTGATTAGTTGAGAGAAGGGCTCATGGAGTGCGAACACGGGCACGGATAAATGTCAACAGCTGTAAATAATCCAGCACTGACCTCGTCCAGCTCCGAGACGAACACTGCTTTTTCCTCAAAACCGATGGGCATGGGCTCGTTGGGGGGGATCTCCACCTCCTCGTACATCTTATTATTGTCTCTTCTGATCCCCTCGGGCAGCAGCATCTGCCGGCACAGCGGAGAGAACATAATTACACAACAAACACATACAATTAAACCTTCATCATGCATTAGCTCTCGGCGAAAGCATCTCAGGACCGATGTTGTGCTGCGGCCACCGGTGTGCTCAAATTAACCCCCAAACACACTCTTTCAGTGTGCCCCCAAGCTGAAATAAATACTAGCATGTGTTTGTGTGTTTACTGTGAGTAGCAAGATATAGCAGGTTAAGGTGGAGTTGCAACAGTTAAAGTCTGAATAATTAAGCCGTGTTCACACCAGGCGCGACATGCACAAACAAATCGGGTCAAATTCACTTCACAACAGACACCGATTCACATCATGGGCTGCCCGTTTCATTGCTTATTGGCTAACATGGATTTTATTTAAAGAGTAGCTGTGCTTAAGTGCTTTAGGAAGGCTGAAATCAGTGTAGATTCTCTCGGCGCCATGTCTAAGTCCACTAGATCATTTCAGAGGGGCTCTCAGCTCTGTGAGTTCTTCAACTCCACCAGAAATTAGACCTGGATCATGGAAGCTTTCAGCGGTGCTTCAGACTAAGCCGAGCGCAGTTTGATGAGCTGTTGTCCAGTGTCTGCAAGAGGATTTGCCCTGGGTACACCAACAAAAGGCACTACGTTCTAATCATGCCCCTTCAAGAGCAAGCTCCTGATTGGATATTGCGGCGCAAATGTCAGATAGAGTTCTGATTTTCCAACTTGAGCAAAGTCAATTTGTGCCTTCTCATTCGCATGAATCACGTCATTCACATCAACCATTTACGCGAATAGCGCCGCAGGATGTCTATTCACATCTTTGCATTGACGTAACATAGTACAGGGTTTTTTTTTTCAAGACATCTCTAATCATAATAGTGTTAATAACTCATTTCTAATAACTGATTTATTTTGTCTTTGCCATGATGACAACACATAATAATTGACTATATATGTTATACTAGTATTCAGTGCAATTTAAAGGCTTAACTAGGGAAATTAGGGTAATTAGCCAAGTCATTGTATGAATTATGATATATATATATATATATATATATATATATATATATATATATATATATATATATATATATATATATATATATATATATATATATATATATATATACACACACACACACAGTTGAAACCAGAAGTTTACATACACTCTCAAAAAAGAAACATAACCAGTTAAAAAAAAATGTCTGATGGTAATTCATACTAAACGTTTACTATTTTAGGTCTGATAGGATTACCTAAATGATTTACATTTGCTAAATGCCAGAATAATGAGAGAATGTTTTTTTTTTTTGGAGAATTTTATATTAGTTTCTAGACAGTCAAAAGTCTACACTCATTTCCTTGGTATTTTTTTAGCGTTGCTTTTAAACTGTATAACTTTGGTCAAATGTTGTGGGTCTCCTTCCACAAGCTTCTCACAATAGTTTGAAGGAATTTTGGCCCATTCCTCCTGACAGAATTTGTTGGCTGTCTTGCTCGCTCAAGCTTTTTTAACTCTGCCCACAAATTTTCTATAGGATTGAGTTCAGGGCTTTGTGATGGCCACTCCAAAACATTCACTCTGTTGTCCTTAAAGCACATTTGAACTAATTTGGCAGTATGTTTAGGGTCATGGTCTGTTTGGAAGACCCGTTTATGGCCAAGTTTTAATTTCCTGGCTGATGTGTTGAGATGTTGCTTTAGTATTTCTTCCTAATGTTCTGTCTTCATGATGCCATCTATGCTGTGAAGTGGACCAGTCCCTCCTGCAGCAAAACAGCCCCACAACATGATGCTGCCGCCCCCATACTTCACAGTTGGGATGGTGTTCCTAGGCTAATAAAATTTCCCCTTTGTCCTCTAAATGTAACACTGCTCATTATGGCCAAACAGTTCAATCTTAGCTCCATCAGAGCACAGGACATGTCTCCAAACATCAGTCTTTTTCAGTGTAATTTAGCTAATTGTAATCTGGCTTTTGTTGTTGATTGTGGCTTGCTGATTTTCCCATGTTGTCACACAAGAAAGCAGTGTGTTTGAGCTTTCCCTTAAATACTATTCTACAGTTGTGCCTCACATTAACTCAAATGTTGTCAATTAGCCAATCAGAAACTTCCAAAACCTTGACATCATCATCTGAGCTTTATCAGAAGCAGAATAATCTTATTGTATGTAAACTTGACTTTCAAGAAAAGTTATATCAATTTCTCAACAAATCTCTCTCTCTCATTATTCTGCTATTAAGCAGAAAAGAAACACATGTGATCATTACTTAATCATTACCTAACTTACCTAAAACAGAAAAAGTTTAGTCTCATTTGACTTTTTGTATTTGGTTATGTGTCTTTTTATACAGGGTATTTAAACTTCAGGTTTCAACTGTATATAGTTTAATATTATTGACCTTAAGATGGATTCACAAAATTAAGAACTGCTTTTATTCTAGCCGAAATAAAACAAATAAGACTGTCTCCAGAAGAAAAAATATTACAGGAAATACTGTGCATACGTATATTCAATCTCTTAAAGTAATAGGAGAATAAATATCTAATTTTTAGCACGCCACATTTCCTCAAGCTATCATAATTACAACTCATTTCCAGCAAACTGAGAGCATATGCTGAACTAATGAATGTGTCATATTCAGCTGTTGCTCGCAGTAGATGGCACCATACGTCATCAAATCTGGCAACACTACTTGATTTAGTCACATATTATAATACTAATAAAGCAAAACTGGTTTTGTTTCTGAGCATTCAGGGTATTTCAGTTAGTATTAAAGAGTCTCTACTATGCTACTTTAACCCTTGTGTTATCTTATAATTCAGTATATGAGCTATTCCAGCATTGTAGATGTGACATTTGCTGTAAAATCTCAAAACATAAATTGACATAGGAAGTACATGTTAACATTATATTTAAAAAAAAATCACAAAAAAAAAAATTTAAATAAAAAATAAAAAAATATAATTTAAATGAATTAAAAATTAATTAATTAAATATGTAAAATTAATTATTATAAGTTATAAAAATAATAATTATACAATATAATAATAATAATAATAATTAACAATTATTAATAATATAAAAATAATAATATAAATTATTAATTAATAATAACAATAATAATAATAATAATAATAATAATAATAATAATAATAATAATAATAATAATAACAATAATAATAATAATAATAATAATTATTATTATTATTATTATTATTATATTATTATTATTTATTTAAAAAATTAAATTAATTAAAATAAAAAAAAATTAAATAAAAATTTAAATGAACTCACCTTTCAAAGATTGCCTACTACTTAACTGAGCAATAGTGACAGCACAGCAGCATCTGTCATGTTTTTTGATCCCTTGAAACATTTGAAATTTTTGACATTTTTGACCCCTTGAAAATGCAGCGCGTTTCATTCATTTGTTTGCGTTGTGTGAAAATGCAGCTCATTTTTTAAAAGTGTATTTGCGTTGTGAGAATTTTCAGCACGTGTGCTGTCAAACGGATGAAGATCTTTTCTTAATTTGCTGGCTTTTTTTGTAATTGCACGTGTTTTCTTAAATTGCAGCATGTTAAGCTCTCTTGGCCACCATAATTATTACATTTAGGTACAAACAATACAAACAATATATGGTTTCAACATCGATATCGCATTGTGTGCATCTACAATAATTACATCGGAAAGATATGCAATGTTAAGTCTAGATTAAGGTTGAGCAGAAGCTATAGAATTGTATTTAATTACTGTATTTATATGGAATTTATATGGAATTTATTTGTATTTATATGGAATACGATTTATGCAAAATAAAAAAAAAACTATTTTCTTTGTTTCTAATCCAAAAGTCTACATTTCAAAGTAAGAAAAGATTAACGTACCCCAATGGCTGATAATTTAGCTTGTTTAAAGGAAAAAACTCTTAATTTCGCAGAATTTCAACAGCACTTTAAAACAAAACCATATTTTTTCTTGACAATGGAATTATTTTTAGATATTTAAACTAGAAATGAGACGAAAGTAAGAAAGCAAAGTAAGAAAAGCAAGTATTTGCATTGTGATTATTGAATTTCTGTATCTGAATACTCGTCGACTGCCCAGAAAACTGCTAAATAGAGCTATTCAGTTATCTGAAAACTATTCATTTCACAATATTTATCGCAGGAAAATAAAATATCTCAAAATCAGATTTTTCCAACATCGTGCAGCCCTAATTACACTGTTTAACATGATACATTAACACGGTGGTCATTAAAAAAATAAATAAGGTAAAAAGTCCAAAATAAATAAATAAACTATCAGTATTTTCTTCTTTGTTTGTTTGTGGGCCAACTAGCAGCAGTCGTATCGTTTAGCCGACTAGCCTTAGCACATCGCTAATCACACACACACACACACGCACACACACACACACTTTAGAATGATTTCTAGCCCTAAACCACCTGTTCCTCCCCACCCGCAGGAAAAATAAAGATGAGGCCCTGAAGAATTCATTTCCATCGCTGGAAGATGGCCTGCGGCAGGAATTTTAATTAAGACATCATAAAAACTGGATTAAAACAAAGGCTCAAGGTAATCTAGTGTGTGATAATGTGATATAATTGAACAGATTGGCATGATGCTGAGTAAACAAAGCACTGGGGAGAGATTTCGCATTTAAGAGAGGAGATTTATTTTCCCTCTGTGTCCTTACACATATAAGACTCAGATTAGCGTGTGTGTGTGCGCGTGCGTGAGTCTGTACCTTGGATCCTCCGATGAACGCAGATGTTTTGGTGGCTTCGCCGTAAGAATCGTATACGTGAGGGTAGCGAATGCGCTCATAATCTCTGTGCCGGCCCAAAACTGGAGACGAGCGTGCTGCCAGCAAAGCCTGCTCCCTACACACACACACACACACACATACAGAGAAGATTCACATCAGCAGACTTTACAAGCATTCACCATCTACAAAACTCTTATACTTTACGAGTGACACTTCAAAGTTTGAAATTACACCTTTGTTCTAATATCTATTATATTCATATATATTTTATAATCAATTATAATAAAATTAATCAATTAATTAAAGTGTAATACATACGGTTCGGTACGACACAGTGGTGTCACTGTTCAGTATGTTTTCGATACAGCAAAAAAAAAAAAAAAAGCCAGAGGATTTCTCTGATTTTGATTCACCGGCACCATTTTTAGTTAACAATAATAACTGTGCTGTGTTCTCACAGGTGGTGTCTGATATTGCACAGATGAAATTATAACTTATTATTTGCATGCATCATCTAAATAGCAATACCGGTCTTTTCATGAGCTGCAATATCAGTTTCATCTTGGTGAATGCATGCTCTTTAGAGATGGTGAACGCAGTATCAGTCGCACGACTGACAGCATCGTGATTATTAAATGAAGGATTAAATAACGTTACAACATCTCATGCTTAATGTGTAGATTAAGTGGCAAACGCTGTCACCTGAAAACTCCGTCCCACCGGCTTTACAGTGAATGCTTGAGTCATAGCGGACTTTAAACACTGGAAGTCTTTGTACCGAATGGTTAAATATGAATATGCGTATCGTTACACCCTAATATATATATATATATACATACATACATACATATATATATATATACATACATACATACATATATATATATATATATATATATATATATATATATATATATACATACAGTACATACATACATATATATATACATACTCTTTGAAACGTGTGAATGCTGGATTGACATTCAGCACATGATCACTAATCAGATGTGCCATTATTTGTAACTTTAGGTGGTTACTAAAACTGAATCTCCCAGTGTTGTTTTCATTCTCTCATATCCAGACCTTTAAGTTTTCGCGGCTGTAGCTCCGTATCATCGGAACTGAGTGATTGACAGCTGATATTAGCCAATCCATTCGCGTTCTATCCTAGCGCAGTGGGCCAATAAGAAGAGCTTGAAGGCGGGGCAGGCATCGCTGGCTTTGTTTACTGCAAGTTGATATGTCAACTGTTTTAAACCATTGCTGAGCGCTGCATTTGGCGTTTTTAGGTGCAAAGATGCTTAATGCGTCAATGCCTTCTAATTCTGCGCACCTGGTGAACATTTTGCCATAAAAACTGGTTGCAAGATATCAATTTTATGCACTCCCTAATATATTTTGACGTCGCATAGATAAAATTTCGGGTACATATACGACCAAAACGGTCGCAATTTCGAGCCCCGTCTCATATCCACAGCTATAAATGTACCGAAACCAAAATGTTCCCAAACGCCAGACCCGTTGTTGGTTATAGGAGGATTACATTAACGTTACTAGCTATTTTGCAAGCTAGTGTAGCGTTTACCTGACTGGAGTAGTGTTTGGAGGTGGGCAGGAAGGGCAGCATGTTGCCAGTCATGTCATTTGGGATGCCTTGTTGAGCGTTGTTGCACTAAAAACATTATATTTTGTACACTTATTCTATTTTATCTTTTTAGATATTAGTCTGAATCATTCGGTTTGTAATGCGTATGTGTGTATGTATGTATGTATGTATGTATGTATGTATGTATGTATGTAAGTATGTATGTATGTATGTATGTATTTATGTATGTATGTATGTATGTATATGTGTGTGTGTGTGTGTATGTGTATGTATGTATGTATGTATGTATGTATGTATGTATGTATGTAAGTATGTATGTATGTATGTATGTATGTATGTATGTATGTATGTATGTATATGTATGTATGTATGTATGTATGTATGTATGTAT